AGCGTCTCTTGATTCAACGACTGTATTCGCATGTATTTCAGAATTATCTGATTTATACACCAAGAATCGGTAAGCACTCGAATTGTGTGCATAACCAACAAACACACAATCTATTGTCTTTGGTCCTAACCTAGTTCGTTTTGGAATAGGGATAGGAACCTTAGCTAGACAACCCAATACTCTCAAGTATTTGTAGCTAGGTGATTTTCCTTTCCACAACTCATAGGGCGTTTTGTCGAGCCTTTTGTGGGGCACTCTGTTTAATACAAAGTTAGCAGAAATCACTGCTTCCCCCCACAAGTTCTGAGTAGATCCAGAACTTATTAACATAGCACTCATCATCTCTTTCAGTGTTCTATTCTTGCGTTCAGCAATGCCATTCTGTTCTGGCGTATAAGGGACTGTAGTTTGATGGATGATGCCATGATCTGCGCATAATTGCGCAAAAGGCGACTCATATTCACCTCCTCTGTCGCTTCTCAAAGCTTTGATTTTCTTTCCAAGTTGATTTTCAACTTCGTTTTTATAGAGATTAAACATCTCTATTGTCTCATCTTTACTTCTCATTAGGTAGAGATAACAATACCGAGTACAATCATCAATAAAAGTAATGAAGTACTTCTTTCCACCTCTGGTTTGCACATATTTCAAATCGCATACATCTGTATGTATCAATTCCAAATGTTCAGTACTTCATTCAATATTTTTAAACGAAGACTTAACAAATTTCGCTTCAACGCAGACTTCACACTTGTGGTCTTTGTCTAATTTAAATTTTGGTAGCAGATTAAAAGACATTAATCTTTGTATAGACTTAAGATTCACATGTCCTAATCTACCATGCCATAATCTTGACTCATTCAAGTAAGCAGAAGAAGTAGAAGCTTTATTAATATCATTTGCGGTTATATTATTTGCTGCATTGGTGTTACAAATGGTCATTACATTCATCTTGAACATACCATTTGCTAGATAACCTCTACCTAGATACACACCATCTTTTGACACTACAACTTTCTCAGACTCAAAAACTAGCTTAAAGCCTTTCTTTGACATCACAGATCCAGAGAGCAGGTTCTTACGAATGTCTGGCACATGAAGAACCTCAGTGAGTGTCAGCTTCTTTCGAGATGTCATCTTCAAAATGACTGAACCCTTGCTTTCCACTTTGGATGCAGCAGAGTTTCCCATATAGCAACTTTCTCCGGTGACTGTGTCATAGGTGGTGAACATCTGGTCTCTAGCAAGACACTATGACTACCTATCTCGAATAGAGTTTGTTCGTGATCTTACGAACGCCGGTGATGTTTCCGGCTGATGATCCTTTTGTATCGCGATATCATATGTCAACATAAGGTATGGACAAGCCACCTTATCTGATTCAACTGCTTTCTCGTTCACTGAGTTTGACTGTCTGAAATAGATGACATTCGTCTACAGTGCGGCCACACATTTCTACAGTCTCGTTCACACGAGGGGCCCAACGATATCTCTCTCTTTTACGAGAGGTACAAATCCCGTCTTCACTATCTACAATCCAACACATGATTCGTTTCGTACCTGATACACGCCTTTATAGTTCTTCTGTTACACATGACGTTTGACGTATTCAAAGCACGCAACTCCTCATGTTGGATTCCGTAGATATCTCAGGTCTTAGGATCCAATTATGGAACCGCCATATGAGATTCAAGTCATGACGCTAGTCCATGTGACAATCTCATGCGGGTCAATCCGGTATTCCGTTCTCCAACGAATACCTATGATTGTGATCGTATCCAATACTATGATCATCTCTATGATCATCAATCACACATCATACTAGTCTTATTATATCATTATTCCCACAATGATATACGACTAGGGAGTTTAGTATTGTTCATAACAATACATGGATTTCATAACTTATTTAAGTATGAAAAACATGTAATGAATAAAACACTAATCCATAAATCATAGAAAGCGTCAATACATCAAAATGCTTCCAAGTAAAGCTCGCAAACAGTACATCATAGAGCACTAAACCAACACATTATTCATATATGTGCCAGCAGCATCATGATTAACGGGGTTCTAACCTCCGCTATATGAGGATTCTCATCGATATCCATAGCAGGAATCTCATTCCCTGGAGCAGTATTTGAATCCATGGGATTTCTTGGATTATCAATGATCTGTTGAATAAATCCAATCATTGTTAGCTTTCACAAAGCTTATAAACTAAACCGAGTTTCACTTAACTTATAAATTGGTTTTGCTCGCTTCCAGTGATAGCCGGAGGGTTCACCCCGATTCCCACGTCCTTACTATGAGGAGGGTATAAAAGGCTTCCTCTTCAAACCCGGCCCGCTAAGACAAAGCTTGCTTCTCCCATTTACAGGAAAAGTTACTTCCGATTTTGTTTAACCTTTTTCTTTTCTTCCAAAAAAGATAAATAATAATATTCTTTTTTTTTCTCACAAAACACTTTTAAATATATTGGGCTTTCTCTTATGGGTTTTTAGATTAATCTCTTCAAATTGGGTCAGGACTAAACTTTTTAATTTGGATTTACTCTTTTGGGTTTTTCAATTAATCTCTTTGAATTTGGGCTTCAATTTTAAATTTGGACCTTAAACTCAATTTGGACTTCACAAAACAACTATTTGGTTTTTTTTTCCAACACTTTTTTTTTAATCTAGTTGTTTTTAGATCCAAATTCGTGTGAGATTTTATACCGAAATTAAAAGGAGATTTAGGCACTTACCCGAGAAGTTTGCCTCGTGTTAACCATATCGAACTTAAGACTGTTGGGGACGGCGGTTGTTGACGATGACAAAACTCCGGCAATTCGAGCGATTCCAGATAAGTACCTGAAATTAAAAGAATATTTTGTCGAGGCCTGTGAAACATAGTTTCCTTAAGTTTTATTTCCGTACCACCTCTAAATCTTCGAGGCTATTGGAGCACTGTAAACTCCCAGGATACAACGACCGTGTATTTGGAAGAAGCTTTCCAAATACCAAGCGGACTAAGAGAGATATGAGCAAATATGTGAATGCTTTTTTTTTCTCTAGAATGATTGTTTCTTTTTTTTGTGTGTTTTATGAGCTAACCCAAAACCCCTATTTATAGTAGAGGGGAGAATCTCAAAACAAATCAATTTGAATTTCAAAATTTAAATTTGATTTTATCTTGATATTATCTTAATCTTATTTTAATCATATTTGATAGATTTTCTGCGGATTTGGATCCAATTTGAATTTGAATTTAAATTTCAAATTCAAAGAAGAATATTCTCTTAATATTCTACATATTTAAAGTTTCTAAAACTTTATACGGACCGGTCTTCTCACAGGCTAGACCGTTTTGATTCATATGAACGCAAATCCAACAGCCTCTCTCTTCTCTACAGCTCATTTTCTCTCTCATTCTCTCTCTAGAACTGGAGCTTTAATTCTTCAAAGGCATCCCACTGATCTGTCTTGATCTCCAACCTATCTTGTCTGCTCCTTGTCTGAAATTTTTTTGTCTGTGTTTGCTTCTTCTTCGCCGGCGACAATGGGTGGTTGCACCTCCAAACCCTCTGACAAACCCAACCCTTATGCTCCCAGAAACACCTTCCCTCAAAATGACGATTCTACCCCCTCCCATCTCGCCAAATCACAGGCTCCTACCCCTGCCGCCGCCGCAAAGGCCTCGCCTTTCTTCCCTTTCTACACCCCGAGCCCCGCCCACCACCGCAGCGGCGGAAGAGAGAGCAAGAGCATGATGAGTACACCCCTCCATCACCTCCGGCGACATTTCCACCCTCTGTCTCCGGCGAGACACATAAGAGTGGCGCTGCGGCGGAGGAAGGGGAGGAAGGAGGCGGCGGCGGAGACGGCGGAGATTTCGGTGGAGACGGAGGGAGAAGAATTGGGTCTGGACAAGAGATTTGGGTTCTCGAAGGATCTGAAGAGTAAAGTGGACTTAGGGGAAGAGGTAGGGCGAGGCCATTTTGGGTACACTTGTTCTGCAAAGTTCAAGAAAGGGGAGCTCAAAGGTCAACAGATTGCAGTTAAGGTCATCCCAAAATCAAAGGTGACTTTCAAATTTCAATTACCCATTTGTGTTTTGACATTTTTATTCAATAAAGTTTTTATCTTTATTTAGTCTGTTAAGTTATGGTTCCATGTTCTCTCAAATCATCCATCTTTGAAACTTGTCTGTGATTTAGATTCCCTTGGTAATCTCCTAAGTCTATTGAACTTGAATGTTTAAGAAATTTCATGATCAAATGGAAGACACGAAGGATACAACTTCTAGCTCAATGATAATAGTTTGACGCTTTATGTTCATTCGACTTTCTTTCCCTTTAACTCTCTTGTTGGAAGAAAATGGTGTGTGTTGTTTGATGTCATTTTGTTTGTGTTGAAGCTTAATGTAAACGTGCGTCAAGTTTGAGTGCAACTCAGACAAGATTGAGGTTGAATCTTCTGATACCATTAGTTCCTCGTCTCTATGTTTGTCCATAGCTAAGATTTGACCGGTCGTGGATGTGGAATTTCTTGATAATTTCGCAGTGTTCCAAGAAGAGGTTCTGAATTTTCAAAACTGAATGTTATGCCAACAGACGGATAGGAAGCATATAAGCCTTGACGTTTCAGTTCGTGATGATGATACAGTTATTTCTCATATCGAGGATATCATATCACACTACAAAAGACTTTTTATCAACCTGAGTGAGACAATGACCTAGGATGTTGCTAACCATAAAATTTCATATTCCAAGGAACTGTTTGTGTTTTAGTTTCGTGTAGACAATCTAACATTAGCTCAGGGTGGCTTAATATACAGAGTTGATTTCCATCAGAAGCAGTGGAAATTCGTTTTTGTTTTGAACTTTTCTCTGTTGCAAAAGAAATGAGGGAAAGGCGGTGTTTGTGGCAGATGACTTCAGCAATTGCTATAGAAGATGTAAGAAGGGAAGTCAAAATTCTACGGGCGTTATCTGGGCATAACAATCTCGTACATTTCTATGATGCATTCGAGGACAATGAGAACGTCTACGTCGTGATGGAGTAAGGAATGCATTATTACATCAGATATCACACTTTTTCTTATTCCTTGTTTGATTTTTGAATCATTCAGTATGAACCTGTCACTCTATTAGATTCGGAGGCTATCTGATCTTACAACCAAATAATCCAGTAGCAAAATATATATCGACCCTCTTCTCTGCAATACAATTTCAAAGCTTTAACCTGCTCGATTTGGCTCATTCCGAATACTGGCTAGGCTGTAAAAATTCCTTACTTTCTGACCTAAAAGGGCTGTTTAAAATTGCAGGTTGTGTGAAGGTGGTGAACTCCTTGACAGAATACTTGCAAGGTCTGTTATTTAAGAGCAATATGAGATAGTATATATGTGTAAAATCTGCTCAAACTTTTGTTCTTGATAATCATTTTTCATCGTCTAACAGGGGCGGGAAATATTCTGAGGATGATTCGAAGACAGTGCTTATACAGATTCTGAGTGTTGTGGCTTTCTGTCATCTCCAGGGAGTTGTTCATCGAGATTTAAAACCAGAGGTGGAGCACATTATTTTATTGCCCTGTTTTTCTTTATACTCAGAAAGAACGTCTATCTTAGTCTGCCCAGATGGTTGCCAACTAGATGTCTGAAATAATCCCCGGTTGAATTCTGGAGTCACTTTAACTTACCCCGTCTTTTCTTGCAATCTGAATCTTGAATATTTTCATGGATCAGAACTTCTTGTACAGTTCCAAGGAGGAGAATTCTCAATTGAAAGCCATAGACTTTGGATTATCAGACTTTGTCAGACCAGGTTCATCATCTATTATCATTATCCTCAAACCATATGACCCTTTTCTTGATGCCATTTTCCTTGACTTTTGCAGATGAAAGGCTCAATGATATCGTGGGAAGTGCATACTATGTAGCCCCTGAAGTCCTACACAGATCATATACTACAGAGGCTGATGTATGGAGCATTGGAGTAATGGCGTATATTCTACTATGCGGTAGTCGTCCATTTTGGGCAAGAACTGAGTCGGGAATTTTTCGGGCAGTTCTAAAAGCTGACCCCAGTTTCGATGAATCGCATTGGCCTTCACTATCTCCAGAAGCAAAAGACTTTGTTAAGAGGTTACTGTACAAAGATCCCCGGAAAAGAATGACAGCCTCACAAGCTTTGAGTCAGTAATTTCATTACCACATTTTTTTTGCTGTCTCATTGTCCTGAATCACCGATCAAGTTCCTCTTTTGTGTTTCAGTGCATCCTTGGATCAGGGATTACAAGGAAATCAAGATCCCTCTCGATATTTTGATATTTAGACAGTTAAAGTCATACTTGAGATCTTCTACGTTGCGGAAGACTGCTTTAAGGGTAAGCGTAAACACACTCTCCTGCGTTTTTTTGCTGAACCATTTACTTGTTCCTCTGATATCCTTTTTCAGCTTTCGGTCCTCAGATGTGAATATAAGCTAAGCATTTGAAGAACGTTCAAGAATTGTGTCGAATCCCCTCTGAGGTTTACTTTCTTACAAAGTTGTGTTCAATCTTTACTTGTACACTGTCTTCAGGCTCTGTCCCAGACACTATCTGAAGACGAACTTCTTTACCTGAGAACCCAGTTTTCACTGCTGACACCGGGAAAACCTCGTCTGATCACTTTGTATAACATTAGAGTGGTTCTCTCTCTCTCTCTCCCTCCCTCTCTCTCCCTCTCTCTGTGTGTGTCTCCAAGACTGAAATGCTGAAGTAACCCCCGTTCTTTGTGTTTTATACAGGCACTTTCTGCAAATGCAACAGAAGCAATGAAGGAATCAAGAATCCCCGACTTTCTGGCTTCGGTATGCCCTCTTGTTCTCGGAGTCTGATTCTCCTTTTAGCTTGTACCCTTCTAAGGCTCTAACATCGAACGCAACAGCTAAATGGACTGCAGTACAGAGGGATGGATTTTGAAGAATTCTGTGCAGCAGCAATGAGCGTTCATCAGCACGAGTCACTCGGGTGTTGGGAGCAAAGTGTCCGCCATGCTTATGAGATTTTCGAGAAAAATGGAAACCGTGCCATTGTCATCGAGGAGCTTGCTTCGGTAAGTTTTACTTCCTCTCCTCCAGAATGATTAAAACAGAGGCATACATCTGTCCCTGCCATGCCTTTGATGGTGGTGATTCTGCTTAAAGGCATGGGAAAAAATTGAGTTGAGCAAAGAAATGCATTAGTTGGACCTTTCGAGATTCACACAGTCGGAGTGAAAGGGTTGGGTATCCGAGATTTTTGGATACGAACCCAAATCCAAACTTCTCAGGTCTCACAAGATAATACTCGATCTCGGATCCATTTTACTCAACCTTGGATTCAGCAGGTTTGTATGTAATATCTCTAAAACCTAGGGGTAAGATGTTACTTTACTGTTTATTCGTGTATCCTTGGTTAACACCCTATCTCGAACCCAATTATCCGTACTCGAATCCAATTTTCGAGTGTTCCTCACATTATAACCCTATCCCATCTGATATAATGTTTTCTTGGCCCAGACATATGGGGCAGGGGTACGAGGATATATGATATGATTCCTAGATAAAAAATATTCTCTAATTATGTGATGGAACCGACCAAAATTTCAAAACCAACTTGTGATCGAAATCTAGGTCTAAGTTAATTAGAAAACATTCTAAACCCTTACCAAACCATTTCCAAGAACCATCCTAAACCCCTACCAAATTTGAATTAGAAATATCGGTATTGTATAGACGCCACAATCCGTTTATGGAGCTAACGAGCTGATAATTCGGTGAATACCACAAATGGAATCACTCCGTCCAACCAATAAGTTCGGGTTCTCAAAGACCCAAGAGAACATTAGAGTTGTTTTCCATTTTCAAAAGTCTATCTGATACAATTATAAAAATACACTTTTATACTTTTTTGTAATTATATGAAAAGAGAATTTAAAGATTGATTATAACATGGAAACAATAACCTAATTAATGAAAATATGGGCTTCCATATATTTATCATATGTGTACTTCAACTTCAATCCTGGGTTGAAGAAGGTCGAGATGTCCATTTTAGTTTCTCTAAGTTTATTTATGACACTTTCACCATAGAACTATGTTCTTTCCCTTAACTACACGCCATTAAAATCTTCGTGGTTTCCCGATACTCACAGAACGTGCTTTTGAAAATGGTTCAATCTCGTCCCCTGTGCATTTGATCTATAACTTCATTTGAGTTCGCATTAGTATACAGATTGCATTCTTATTCTTTCATGCGAAACATTGGCCCGAGATTCTGAAACCAAACAGACGAGCAGACAGAAACATCTGATCGCCTTATCCGTAAGAAAGCTTACTGAGTTGTGAAATATAATGTTGCAGGAACTTGGTGTCGGGCCATCAATCCCGGTACATTCGGTTCTGCATGACTGGATTAGGCATTCTGACGGGAAGCTGAGCTACTTAGGATTCGTTAAACTGTTACACGGCGTCTCTAACCGGCCCTTGGCTAAAACAAGGTGAAGGTCATTTCCATACACGAGCAAAAAAAAAAAAGAGAGAAAGCAAGTGATATATATATATATATAGAATGGACAACTCCCTCTGATGAAATCTCAGAGTTTGAATCAGAAATATTTCTAAAAGCAATGCATGTTCAGACAGTGAATTGTTATACAGCATCTCTTTCAACATGAATGAGACCATATACATACATAGATATGTAATATATACATAATACATAGATATGTTCTCCCATATTCAAGGATTCCAGTTCAGAACATTCTTCTTCTTTTGGGGTTAAAACTTTACTGGTTCAGTTGTCCAAAGGGCATTTGTCTTGTTCCATGTCATAAGGATTTGTCTGAAAACTTCAGTAAGTAATAGAAAGACAAAAGCAAATTAAAACTATGGTGATCCACTTGGTGGTAATTATGAAACTGAGAAAGCGATTAAAATTCTTGTAATGTATGCAATTGTCTGTGTGCATGTGTATCCATTTTCTTGTCGCTTGTCTGTGTGTCTCTGTTAATGTTTTACATACATCAATGTGATTACAAGATAATATTATAAGGGTCATAGATGATTTATTCTTTATATATGCAAATGAATTTTCATTCATGAATTATGAAAACCATATTCCACCAATGGCAAAAGAGGTTCACCCTTTTCAAGTTGAATCAAACCCAAATGGATCGAATTTACACCCTCTCCAAGTTCTGATTCCTCATTGCTTATAGCTCAAAATGCAAGTTGCCATTAGAAAGTTGAAATCCTGACCAAGAGATCAAAGGAGAATCCCCACAAGAAACCACCATTGTTGTCTCTACCTGGAGGAAAGCCTCTGGTGCAGATGTCAGCCAACGCTTGCCTCAACAGTCAGGATACGCCTGTTGACTCTTGCGCTTGTGAACTGTTGCAAGAATTCCAGTTTTGTCGGGATCATTCAATATATCCGGCTCAGGTTCCTTTCGCAATCTTTTGACACTGATTGGGCAGCACGCAACAAGTCACGACGGTCTGAGGAGCGTGGTTTATCCCCACGTTCAAGCTTTCAGGGATCTTCCACCGAGCTTTGAGCAATCCGATTGCTTCCACAACCACATATCTTCCTTTCACCAGCATTTCGTTGAACAGATTCGCGTGCGAGCTGTTTGGAGAGAAGAGTGCCATCCGCTACAAAAAATACTGTCTGCTGCGACAGTAATATCCGTCGCAATGCGATTGCAAATCCGTCCCAATTTATGATTTCTGACGGATTCTGATGTACTGAATTTCATTGGTATAGAATTGTCGCAAACGTTTTGGAGTCCTTACTCGGTCGCAAGTTACGACGGCGCTAAACCATAGGTTTCCATCGCAAGTTATGAAGAGCGTATTCTATCAGTATTGCGACGACATAATCCGTTCTACAGTTGTCGCAAATTGCGACGGAATATACGGCACATTGAAAACAAGAAGAAAAGGGTTTTTGCTACATGGGCTTCTTCCCTTTAGCCTACATGGGCCTATGGTTCACTACAAGGCCCAAGTCCCCATCCTCCTTGCTTGGCAGCTTGTTATCTACCACATGTGGCGAGAGCGCAACAATCGTCTACATCAATCTATGTTTACCGATATAGAGGCCAACTTTAAAGAGGTAGACAGGAATATACGGCGTACTGCTGCCACTTTTCGGCTCACCAGACCGGAGCTAGCTACACATATGTATGAGCGATGGCTTGGGTAACTTTGATAGAAGAATTGGGGGCTGACTCTCTCTCCGATACTCTCCTTCGTAGAGTGGTTCTTATGAATGATTTTACTGGCAAATTTAGACCTCAAACTCTTTTTTGGCTATGGTGGCTCTTTATATAGATTTGTAATGTTTTTAAAAAGTCCATTTGGACAAAGATTTTGATGGAATGGAAAGTCAGATATAAAAAAAAAGTCTTTCCTCCACGACATGCAGAAACTCACTTCCTTGATGATATGAACACAATGTGAGGCGCTTATGTTTCTCTTCTAACGACTAGACATTTCTATTTGTGTTTATGTTAGTTTCTTTTTCATATTTGGACAGATTTTTTTTCTCCTATGTAATCTGGTATTCCTTTTTTTCTTTGTTATTTTTTTCTTCTTCAATATCAAGCATATTCCTTTGTATTTCTTCACACTCAAATACATCAACATACTAAGAAATTTTCATGGTATCCGAGTATAAGGCTTAGAAGACCTTATGTTTTTCATTTCGATGCGAAATGGAAGCATCTATCCTCTCGGTTTTGAGTATACCGAAGTGGAGTTTGCTCGATTTTATATTTCAAAATTTTGTTTTCCCTTTTGGTCATTTATTCAAACCAAAATGATTGTTTTCTTCAAATGAATCGTTGGCCATTTATTCAAGCCACGTTCCATCATTTTTTTTTCTCTCGATCATTTCAAACCTAGAAGAATTTCGTTGTTCTACCCTTTTGTCATTCCAACATGTGTGATTATTGTGATAGTGATTGTTAGTATGAAAAGGTTTATGAAGAAATAGAATAGAATGAGCATTGGGATGTTGAGGACATCTTAACCAAAATATCAGAATTCCTAAGAGAGACATTATTGCAAAAAACCAATACAAACAACATTGAGTTAAGTGTTTCTCTCATTTAAAATTTATTTATAATATCGAGTTTTTTGAAATGATGCAAGAAGCACAAGTAAAAAATATTGAAGAGATGGAAACAATAAGGCTGTTGGGTTATCTACGAGCTCCTAGCATGCGATCATATCGATCTAGGGTTTGGTTTACTAGGTTTCATGCAGCGGAAGAAAGATCTAAACCTAGTCAAACGTCACACGCAACCAAACTCGCAAAACCCGAAAGATCGTGTATATCACCGAGGGAATCGTTACTTACCTCGTTCTCGATGAGACTTGAAGTTTATTTCGATCCGGGGCCTATTCTAAATCACCTAGGACTGAAGTTACAGTCTCTCTACACGTATCCACACCAACGGGAAGGATTCCAAACGATTTGGAACGAATCTGCTAGGATTAGTGAAGAAAAGGGTAACTCAAGAGACGAAATCCAATCCCGGGACAATAGAAATCGAAGAGAACATGTTCTCTAGGGTTCTAGGAGGTTTCTCTGAGTTTTAGGTCCGCCTTTTTTAAGTTTGGACGAAATCCCAAACTTAAATAAGATTAGAAAACCCTAAAATCGAATTATGGAAATTTTCCGGATCCCGGTCTGCCGGACCAGGAGCTTGGTCCGGCGGACCAGGCTTACTCAACTGCCCTCGGACCGTCTGACCTAGAACCTTGGTCCGGCTGACCAAGATTGGTCAGCTCCGGACCAAGTCTCCTGGTCTTCTTTCGGTCCTCCTGTTCGCTCCTCGGTCCGCCTGATTCCAGCGCCTGGTCCGGGGCTGACCAACTCTTGGTCAGCCGGACCAAACCTGGACAGATGACCTCGGACTGAGCTTCCGGACTGCTTGATCTGACCAACTTGGTCTGGGGCTGACCAAACTTGGTCAGCTCCGGACCAACGCACTGAAAACTTCTTTTCATGCTCGTTTCGGTCAAATCTTGTTTCCATTCTTCGTATTCTTCACGTATAAGTCCATCCCTATTGGTGTGTGACCCTGTATGCCCATTCTAAGTGGTAGTGACTTTAGGAATTTTTTCCGAACCACAAGTCATGGTTAGCCTCTAGCAAGACGCCATGACCACCCACGTTGAATTGAGTTAATCTAACCAAGGCAATAACAGCTCGAGTTCTGATCCTTTATCTCACGATATCATGTGTTGAACAAGGGCATGGTTTGAGCCACCCTTCAACTTCAATCGCTTTCTCGTCTTGGTAAATCGACTAGTAAAATAGATGCAACTTCATCTATAGCGTGGCCACGCGTTTTCATAGTTCGACTTCCACGAGAGGGCCCATCGATATCTCTCCTGTTAAGGAGGTGACAAGTCCCATATTGCATGTCTACTATCTCCATATGATTCGTGAACGTATCTGATCAACGCCGTTATAATCATCCGATTAAAGACGACGTTTGACGCAGTCAAGACACGCCACTCCTCATATCAGATACTCTAGACATCTCATGTATGAGGATCCATAAACGAACCGCTGTATGAGATTCAAGTCATGACTCTATCCATGTGACAATCTCATGCGGTCATCCAGTCACTCGTTCACAACGAGTACCCATGATTGTGATCTACATCCAATGCGTTGATCACACCTCATGCTAGTCTTGATTCAACATTGTTCCGACAATGATGACTGACTAGGGAGTTTAGAATCGTTCTCTAATGATTCAAGGATGCCGAAATACAACAAACATGCTAATCGTATAACGGATAAATAATGCATTCATAAATCAATGAATCAATACAAAGTAAAATGTCATATCATGGATCATCCTAGAGCATTACAACCAACAATCTCCCACTATGCTCTATGATCTATCCTACAAGCATCTAATCCCCATACCCATAATATGACCATCATGCTTTGACGAAGGGAGAGGCTTCGTCAATGGGTCGGCAATATTATCATCCGTCGACACTCTGCTTATCTTCACGTCTCCTCTGTCGATGATTTCTCTGATCAAGTGAAATCGCCTGAGTATGTGTTTGGATCTCTGGTGTGACCGGGGTTCCTTAGCTTGCGCAATCGCACCATTGTTGTTACAGTACAATTCAATGGGATCTGCAATGCTAGGAATAACACCCAGGTCTCCCACGAATTTCCTGATCCAAACAGCTTCCTTAGCTGCATCCGATGCAGCTATGTACTCGGCTTCTGTAGTCGAATCTGCAACGGTTGGCTGTTTGGAACTCTTCCAACTGATAGCCCCACCGTTCAGGCAGAAAACATAACCTGACTGCGATCTGAAGTCATCTATGTCGGTTTGGAAACTAGCATAGGTATAACCCCTTATAGCGAGCTTGTCTTCCAATCCGCCATACACCAAGAACAAATCCTTAGTCCTTCTCAAGTACTTAAGGATGTTCTTGACCGCAATCCAGTGAGCCTCACCTGGTGTAGACTGATATCTACTAGTCATACTCAATGCATATGATACATCCGGACAAGTACACAACATGGCGTACATGATGGATCCAATTGCCGAGGCATATGGAATCCTACTCATGCGCTCTTGCTCATCCTGTGTCTTTGGACACTGAGTCTTGCTAAGAGCAACGTCATGTCCCATTGGCAAGGCACCCCTCTTGGAGTCTTGCATCTTGAACCGATTCAAGACCTTGTCAATGTATGTACTCTGACTTAGACCAAGA